TCTCCGCCGATGCCCTCAGGAGCCCCGTGCTCCAGAGCAGAGGCCCGGGGTCACTATGGAGGTGGGTGAGACCTGTCAATGTGAGGCTGTGGCTGGAGACCCCAGTGGCTCCATTAAACTCTCTGGGCCTCGGAGACTTGAACTCCCAAACCCTGAATTATTCCCGGTGGAAACGTCACCTGTTACTTACTGAGGGGTAAGTAACTTACCAGCAGTCTAGTGGCCATGGGAAGCTACCGATGCCCCCTTTCACCATCTGTGACATGGGTGGTTGTGAGGCTTATGTGGCTTAATGCTGGTACGGTCAGCACACAGGGGCCAGTGGGCGCCAGGGCTGTCCTTGGTGCTGCTGAGCTGCACGCCGAGCCTTGGAGTAGGGCCCGTGGGCCAGTCCTCAGGAAAGCTCTGGGAGGGCCTGGGGCCCCTACAAGCCTGAGAGGCACCCCCACAGCCCACGTGTACAGCTGGTGGGCTTCGGACTCGGGCCCCCCCAGCCCTGGAAAGCTGGCCTAGGAAAGACACGGGCAGGATGGCTCCAGGCGGCTCCAGGTTGGCATCTACAGAGAGAAGCTGGACTCCGACAGCTGGTGTCCAAAACTGTGCGAACCTCAGCCAGCTTCCGAGAGGAGCTGACACAGGCTGGGTGAGGCGGAAGAGAGCCACCAGACTGGCCTCCATCCTTCTCGGTGTGTGACCTGCCCCTCACCTCGTTAGCCGGGGACTCAGGAAGTGGGCCGAGGTGCTGGGGGCCAACTCAGTCAGCCCAGCCACGGGCATCCCTTTCTCTGCAAACCCTTCCAGGGGCACCGGCTGCAGCCCCATCTTCCAAGCTCCAGGAACACTGCTCACTGCATCCTGCCTGGGGACCCCTCTGCTGTCCCGGGGTCTCCCGCAGCCCAGCACCACCAGGAGCAGCCTTTCCATAGTTGGCAGGCCCTCTGACCCCAGGATCTTCTGGGGTCCTGCTGGTCAAAGCTGAGAGCTGAGCAGCTTGAGTGCACAGATCCTGACGCGCCGAGATCTGGCTTCTGCCCCACTTCTTCCTGGCCCCGTCACCTTAAACCCCCTTCCTGGCCCCTCCCACCATGGTCTTTGGCCAAAATTGGCAGAGAGAGTGCTGGGAGGTGGCTTCTTCCTCGGCCATCATCTCCTGTCCTGCAGGCCTTCCTCTGTCAGGATGGGGTTCTCAGGACAGTGGGTCCCTCCCATGAGCCCAGGCCAGTCTCTGTGGGCTGCAGGGTGGGGTGGAAGGGCCCTTAGGCACAGCCTGGTTAGCCTCTGACCCTCAGCCCAGGCACCCCCAGGACCACCCTACTCTTGGACTACAAGTTCCACAAAGGCAAGCGGTGCACCAGCTCTTCCTGTCTCCAGCCCCAGTCCAGCAAGGAGCCTGGTGCACAGTAGGCACCCACTAAATACTTGTTACTGACGTTGCCACGAAATGCCTCTGAGTCTGGACGTGGGGTCCGAAAGCTCAGGGAGGGGCCCAAGGACTTGGTGCTAAACTGGGGCTCCGTGGCCCACTTGCCTCCTGCCTTTGAGGGACCTTGGTCCAGGAGGCCTGAGGGGCTGCGCGCAGTCGGGGAGGGCACACCCTTGTCCTGACCCCAAACTTCCGCCAGGGATCACACACGGCCAAACCCCCGCCTCCCCCCGAGGCAGGAGGCAAACAGGGTGACTTGGGTGGGCTGTCGCCCAACCCTCGCCGCACCCCTTCCTGGGCCACCACTTCGCCATAGCACCCTGCCCCTCCCACTGCCGCCCCGTCCCCAGGCCACGCCCTTCCACTGCTGCCCCGCCCCAGGCCCCGCCCCTCCCACTGCCGCCCCGCCCAGGCCCCGCCCCCTCCTGTCTCCTTCTCCATCGCCCCCACCCCCTGCAGTCCTCGCGTGGTGGCGGCCGCAGAAGCCACGTGTGCCCGTGCCCGTGCAGGGAAGCGCGGCCACGCTGGCCGGGCCATCTCTGACTCGCGAGCAGCGGCCCCTCCGTGTGCCCGGCCGGTCCCCAAGCGCCGGCGTGGAGCATGAGCGCGGGCTCCGAGCGCGGGGCGTCGGCGGCCCCCGGGGTGGTGCCCGCGCCCTGCGCCTCGAAGGTAGAGCTGCGGCTCAGCTGCCGGCACCTGCTGGACCGCGACCCGCTCACCAAGTCCGACCCCAGCGTGCTGCTGCTGCTGCGCTTGCAGGGCCAGTGGGTGCAGGTGTGCCGGGCAGGGCTGCGCGGGGCGCGGGGACGAGGTGGGCTCGCGACGCTAGCGGCGCACAGGGCAGGGGCGTCCAGGCGCTGAGGGAGCGGAGTGCGGGCGGGACTGCATGTGGCGGCTGCCGAGAGGTGCTCGGGTGGGGGTGCCACCCGGGTCCAGTGTGGGGCTCTGGGTATGGGCAGGAGGCTTGACTAAGGGGCGCAGAAGGGAGTGGGGGTACCGGGGTTGGACTGGGGTCACGGATTCCCCTTGGGCAGCCAGGCAACCAGGAGTTCTGCTTCTCTGCCGGTCCCGCAGAGACGGGAACAGGGAGGGGAGCCGCTGAGCCAGGCAGGGCGCTCCACTTGGGAAGCCGGGACACGACCGAGGTTGGGGATGCCCCTCCCCGAGGGCTCCCAGTCTGTTGCCTCACTCCTCTGGCACTTGCAGACTGAGCGTGGGTCTCCAGTGAGGGTCTGGAGCCATCCTGGGGTGACCTGGCCTGGCCAGTGTGCGGTGTGGCCGGGGCTGGGACCGCTGCGGCTGCATTCGTGCGCCCGGCGGACCTGGCTCCCTGGGCGGGCGTGTGCGGGGCATGAGGCGCTCCTCTTGACACCCTCTGGTCCTGGAGGTGGCTTCCCCATGGCCCGCCACCCCTTGTAATCCCCCAACCCAGCCTAGCCCAGCCCGAGGAAAGGGCTGGTGGCTGCGACAGCTCTGGGCACCCTGCGCTGTACAGAGTGCTTTCTCGCTCACAATCTCACATTGAAAGGGCGAGAAAGCGGGTATGCAGGCGAGGTTGGCGGTTTTGAAGCTGCGGCTGAGGGGCGGGGGGGGGGGACAGACAAAGGAGGGGCCACAGCTGCCCATGGCCGGGGCAGGCAGGTAGGGCAGGAAGATGAGGCTGGGGTGGGGGGGGGGGCAGGAGGAGGGAGAGGTCCCTGGTGTTGGCAGCCAGGAGCCTAGGTGTAGGTGGTGGAGCAGGACATGTGGGCGCCCCACCACTGAGTGGCCCGGAGTCCCTAAGGCTGCACTGGGCCAGCTACCAGCAAACGGAGTTGCTGCAGGCGGGCACTGTGACCTTCTGTGGTCAGCTCACCGGCCCCAGCCACGGGCCTTGAGGGTGTAAAGGTGGCCCCCAGTCCAGTGTATGCTTGGCATGGAGCATTGGAGAAGGTGTGCTCCAAACCCTATTAGCCTTCGCTGCTTGTCTTAGCACTGCCTGGTGCAGATGCCCTATTTGAGGGTTCAGGCGTTTGTGGGACCCTGGAGGGTGGTACAGAAACCTGTCTGCCCAGCTGGGATTGTGCTTCAGAGGGCAGGGGCTGCAATGGAGGAGAGAGCTAAACCCAGGGTCTCTGCCCCCGGCCTTCCTCCCTGCCCAGCCCCGGCTTCTGGGGTTCAGTCCCTGACTCAGAGCTGAGCCTCCGTCTCCCCATCCATGATGTGGGGACAGAGCAGCTGAGGTGGGCATGAGACGAAGAGGCAGAGAAGCTGAGCCCATGTCCGCTGGAGGGTGCACCTTTACTTCAGGGAGGGAGGTGCCCAGATTTCCTGGGAATCATGCCGGGTGGAGAGCAGGTCGGGTGGGGGGCCCACTGGCTGGCCTGGAGCCAGTCCTCCAGCAGAGGGGAGCCTCAGGGCGGGGTCTGCTCCCGGCTCCTGCAGGTAGGCAGGACGGAGGTGGTCCCCAGCTGCCTGCACCCCACATTCTCCAAGGTCTTCACGCTGGATTACTACTTCGAGGAGGTGCAGAAGCTGCGTTTCGAGGTCTATGACAGCCACGGGCCCAGCAGCCACAGCTGCCAAGACGACGACTTCCTGGGGGGCATGGAATGCACCCTGGGGCAGGTGGGCCCCTTCCCCTCGGGAGCCAGGAAGGCAGAAAGGTGCCTGGGCTGGTCCTGAGAGCTGGTGCACTGGCAGTGGGGGCACGGGGCGTGACGAGGCGCTGACTGTGTGCCAGGCACCACGGGCACCCCTCTGGATGGGCACCCCGGCTCTGCCCATCTCCACAGCGTCTTCCCTTGAAAAGGTCTTTATTAGTTATTTGTAAAATATGTGATTTTGAACTGGGCAGTATATTCCTGTGGTTCAGCCCTCAGGAAGCATGAAAGGCCCGTCTCCCTCCTGCATGGCCCCCAGGTTGGGTGCATCTGACCAGGACGCATTCTCACACAAGCAAATGCGCGCATGGTTTTTCTCTATGTATTTTTTAAAACACCAGTTCCAGACACTGTTCTGCAACCTGCTCTTTTCACCTCCGTGACACGAGGAGCCCTTCCACATGGGCACACGAGGTCTCCTTGTCCCTCCGTGTGCAGTGGCCAGCCCATCACGGCTGTTTATCCCCGTCCGTCATCAGGGTGACGAGAGCTCTTGCTGGCCTCCGACCAGACCGCTCCCAGGCGCCATGGAGCACTGCTTCCTCCCGGGGTCTTATTTACGTACAGTGAGATGGGTGGATTTAGACGGCTGTGCACACGTGAACATCACAGCTCTCATAGGGCGCTTTCAGCAGCCGCAGGCCCCCTCCCCCCAGCCTGTGCTAGAATTCCATGTCTGTGAATCACAGCGTGTTCTCATTGCTGCCCAGCGTCCTGTACCCGACAGACGTCTGTGTGACTCATCCCCTCGCTGCCTGGGTCGGAGCTGGTTTAGGACAGATTGTTCTGTCATCCCCACTTTTCCCCATTTCACAGATAAAAGGACTGAGAATTAGGAAGGACACAGCCTACGAGAAAGCGGCAGGGCCCGATACCACCACCTGCCATCGCTGGCACAGAAGAGGACAGCACACACATGGACACACGTGCAACATGTAGACATGCACACACACAGACACATGGGCACACATGTATGAGACATGAACCTGCATGTGTGCACACATGCGGGGGCACAGATCCATGCCACACAGAGACACATGCATGGGCACACTGACACACATGTGGACACACATGTCTACATATACATGTAAACGTCAGAAAACGACAAGGCCCATGGCAGACCCGCTCTGCAACCACCCTGGCCAACGCCCCACGTCTGCACGGCTGTCACAGGCACTGCAGTCAGAGGTGAAGGGTGTAGACAGTGGTTTCAAATCCCCATGCTGTGACCTTGAGCCAGTCCCTGACCTCTGCCTGAACCTCCTCATCTGGGAATCATGGTGACAGCACGGCCACCTCAGCGGCTGCTGCAGGTGTTGAGCTTAACAAAACACACACCCAGCCCGGGCCACACGCAGAAAGCACTTACTGCTGGCCGCTGTTACCACAGCAGCCATCCCTTTGGCCAGACAGGAGAGCCAAGAAGTGAGGCCTACAGATAGGGGTGTCCGGGCTGCACAAGCCCTGCACCTGTGGGGCGATCCCCGCACCCCACCTGGGGCATGTTCTCTTCCACACGGAATGTTCCCTCAGAAGCTGCCAGCCAGGCAGCCCCTGATGGACAGTGGGTGGGGACTAGCCTGTCTCCTATCTGCACTCAGCTCACTTTTCCACGCCCCCCCCAACAGACAGGAGCAGTGGTGGGGGGGCCAGGTAAGCGCTAGCTGCGGCTGTGCTGCCATCACCATGGTGACAGCTGAGGTCGCTCCGAGCCTTTGCTGGCAAGTGAAGGGTGGGCTCCTTTCAGTGGGAGTCATGGACCCTCCAGCAGCCGTGGGGGGTGGCCATCATTTATCCGACCAGCACACCCAGCCACCTGAGGTCTGCCCTCTGATGGGCAGGCACCACTGGCCGCATCCGGTGTCCCTGCGTCCACTCACTGGCCCCAGGTCAGGCTTGCAGGGGGCCTGGCAAGGAAGGGAAGGCCCAGGCGAGGGAACCAGACCTCAGGGAGGCACACCCCCGCTGCCCACGGTGCAGAACGTCCGCACTAACGGAGGGTGGAGAGCTGGGCTGCATCTGGCTCCTGCCCCCTGTGCCACCCCTCACACCAGCCACGGGTCCGCGGACGCCCAGCACAGGCCCGGCCCCTGGGCTGGCGAAGCTCCAGGCCCCATGAGCTGACAGGCAGCCCCGCTTCTGCGATAGGCGTGTGTGCTCAGCTGCGCAGGGCCTGGGCAGTCCGCCTCCTCTCCGAGTCTCAGTTCCTTCATCTGACACATGGGCGATGGGAGGGCCCATGAGACGGTGGAAGTGAGGGCGCCTGGCAGCGCAACAGGTGACCACAGAGGGACGACAGGTGGTCGAGCGTCTTGGGAGAGGGCCGAGGGCATGGGTCCTGCACAGTGGGTTTGGGGAGGAGACCAGGAGACAGGGCTGGGTAGGGTCCCCAGGGGGCAGGAGCTGACCCCTCCCTGACCTTTCTGACTTCCAGATTGTGGCCCAGAAGAAGATGACCCAAGCGCTGTTGCTGAAATTTGGCAGGAATGCTGGCAAGTCCACCATCACGGTGAGGCCGCCTTCCCAGCCAGGGCCCTGCCCTTCCTCGCCCGCCGTGGTGCTCAGGGTCCCGTCCTAGAGAAGGGCCCAGGGCTGCACTGCTGCCTAGGCAGGCCCTGGGGGGGGGGTCCAGACGCCTCCCCTCAGGCCGGGCTAGGGGTACCCACGGTGGGGTCAGGCCCCGCCTGCCATGCTCAGACCTGTGTCTCTCCCTGCCCAGGTGATAGCCGAGGACATCTCTGCAAACAACGGCTACGTGGAGCTCTCCTTCCGGGCCAGGAAGCTGGACGACAAGGTGAGGGGGGCGCCCACCTGGGGCACGAGAAGGCCAGCCTCATGCATCACAGCCATTGCCTGGAGGATGATGTGGGACAGAACTGGCCGTGTTTCTGACTGCTGTGAGCGCCACTGAGCCCTTTCTGTATTGGGGGACAGGGAGCAGCAGGAGTGCTGCCTGGGGGTGAGAGAGGCCGGGCGTTACAGCGAAGGTGGGGAGCAGTGAAGGCTCTCAAGGGGAAGGCGAGGACTCGCGTCGTCCGAGACACCCTCAGGAAGGGCTGTGCCCTCCTTCTATAGATAGGAGATAGGAGCTCCGAGGGTCTGGGGACACGGCCAGGAAATGGCAGAGCTGGGCTGGGGCTGGGCCCCTGCCTTGCCCGCACACCCTCTGCCCCTCCTGCAGGACCTCTTCAGCAAGTCGGACCCCTTCCTGGAAATGTACCGGGTCAATGACGACCAGAGTGAGCAGCTGGTGTACAGGACGGAGGTGAGGGTCCCTGCCGAGCCCCTGGGGTCAGAGAGCCCTCCGGGGCTACAGCCCTGACCTGCGGCGCGCCCCTCCCTGCAGTGGTTTGGAGACAGCGGACCCGTGCCACTCCCCAAGTCCCCCCAGACCCCCATGGCTGTAGGGGTCTTCACCTCCAACACCCCCGCCTCCCTCTGGACAGGGAGCAATTCTGTTCTGTTGTCACTACCTGTAGGTGAAATGCCACAACAGTCACAGCACTGAGAGTGTTTCCTTCTCAGATAAATTAGTTTCAGTTAAAGAAAAAAAGAGTCTATTTCAGGAAAAGGAGCCCAGGGCCCAGGGATGTGGCCGAAATTATGAGGGTGGTCTCCAAAGGGGTGAGGTGGGGGAAGGCAGCTCTGGGCAGGGCCTGCCTGGGACCTGAGGCCCCTCCCACCCCCAGGTGGTGAAGAACAACCTGAGCCCCGCGTGGGAGCCCTTCAAGGTGTCGCTGAACTGCCTGTGCAGCTGCGAGGAGACGCGGCCTCTGAAGGTGGAGACCGGCCGGGGGGCCAGGCTGTTGGTGTTGGGTGGTGGGGCGGGGGCTCCAGCTGAGGGGCCTGGGCTCCTGTCGTCCACAGGGTCTCGTCTGGGACCACGACTCCCGTGGGAAGCACGACCTCATCGGGGAGTTCGCCACCACCTTCGCAGAGATGCAGAAGGCCTTTCGAGAGGGCCAGGTGAGCTGGGGAGCAGCCACAGGTGTGGGTGGGCGGGGCTCTGCGCGGGGGGCGGGGCTTCCAGAATCTGTCGTCAGTAGAACTCAGAAAAGAGTAACGACCCGGTGAGAATGAAAACCGCACGTGCCAGGCGGCCAGAAACCAGGCTGGAGCTTTCAGGCCCCCCGGCCCCCGTGGGGTGGGGTGCTGGGCGCTGGCACTCCGGGTGGGGCTCTCTGCATGTCCCTGTCCCCCAGGCCCAGTGGGACTGCATGAACACCAAGTACAAGCAGAAGAAGCGAAATTACAAGAACTCTGGCGTGGTCATCTTGGCGGACCTGAAGGTGAGTGTGGCCCCTGCCTGCACGGCCTCCCTGGATGTTACCCCGTGGTCAGATGGACCCTCAAGGCCCTGTCCCCAATGCCTGGCAGTCCCCAACATGTGGGGGAGGGAGGTGTGAGGGTCGGGGACAGAGAAGGAACATGGAAGAGGGGCCTGAGGGCCTGAGGGCCTGAGGGGAGGGGACTGGGCAGCCCAGCTCCGCAGCCCAGTTTGCTTCCTGTGGGGGGTTTGGGGGGCTTCTGGGGGGTCCTGGGCAGGCCCTGCTGACGCTGCTGCCTGGAAGCTCCACAGGGTGCACTCTTTCCTGGACTACATCATGGGCGGCTGCCAGGTCCACTGCACGGTGAGTCCGGCGGCCTGGCCCCCCACGCAGCCAGCCGGGTGAACCCCAGCAGGACGACCCCCTGGGCCCGTGGCTCCTAACAGAGCATGTTGGTTTGTCACCTGGGCCGTGTACAGAGAGATGGGGACAGCGAGGCCCTTCTGCAGGGTTTGGAGGCCCCTGCCCTGGTGCTCAGTACTTCCTGAGGCGTCCTGTCCCCGAGCAGCACAGCCGGGCATCCTGAGGGGTGTGGACAGGACTTATCCTCCACAGAAACAGTGACAGGAAAATGAGTGAGCGAAGAATATGGTGGGAGCCTGCTGGGTACAGCACAATGACAGCCCCAAGCTGATGTGGCCCTGCCCCGGAGCCAGGGGCGCCAGTGGGGCTGCGCAGGGTTCCCCTTAGGTCCCCTCCTGCTTGTCCTTGGTTCAGACTCACCGGAGGGAAGTGACCAGGCCAGTGCACAGGCCTCGGCTGGTGTCCCTGCAGGGCACTCGCTTCCTCCTGGGGCTCCCAAGAGCTTGGGACTGCTGTGCCTGGGTTTGCTGGCCAGCCTGGACATCTGTTCTCCTCAAGTCGCCTTCTGACCCTGCCCAGCACCAAGCCACGCCGGCCCATGGCCCAGGGGTTCCTCACGAGGCCACAGGAGCTGCTTTCAGATGCCCCGTTGCTGAGCAGCTCCCCAAGCCTCGGTTTCCCCTACCTGTCAAGCGGGGGGTGCAGGGCCCATCTCAGGCCAGGTGGAAGCCAGCTCCGTCCGGGATCATTGTGGGGGTCTCCACAGGTGGCCATCGACTTCACAGCCTCCAACGGTGACCCCCGGAACAGCTGCTCCCTGCATTACATCAACCCCTTCCAACCCAACGAGTACCTGCAGGCCCTGGTGGCGGTGGGCGAGGTCTGCCAGGACTACGACAGGTGTGTCGCTCCAACTCCCAACTGCCCCCACCCCCGGCTCCCACTCAAGGACCTGCCCAAGGCCAGGAATGCAGGGGCCACGGGGTGATGGGGTGACGGCTGCGTGGCAGAGCCTGTGTGTCCGGGTGGGACTGATGTTCACCACAGGGTCCCCTGCAGCCTTCACACAAACACACACGTCAGCATCCCAATTCACAGAACAGTAAACTGAGGCCGTGGAGGGCAAGACCTCCATCTGGGGTGTTGCTGGGAGCCGAGGTCCCGCAGGCAGGAGGCCGGCCGTTCCGGGGTCAGGCTGCCCCCCAGTAGGAGCCTGCTGAGCCTGGAGCAGAAGCGGGAGGAAGTGGACTGGGGCTCAGAGCAGGGCCTGGGCTGGGTCACACAGGGTGGCACAGAGCTCTGTCAGTCTCCCACCAAAGTGGTCCCCATCCCACCCCATTCCCACCTGGGAACCAGGGACCCTGTGTGACGGGCGGCCTCTCTTCCAGTGACAAGAGGTTCTCTGCTTTGGGGTTTGGAGCCCGGATCCCTCCCAAGTTTGAGGTAGGAGAGCGGGGGCCAGGGCCAGCCATCTCCCTGTGTGCCCCTCCCAGGCAGAGGCCATCCTGCCGGGAACCGCTATTATGTGACTCTGGCTTTCGCTGAGGGGCTGACCTCTGCCCTCCTAGCACTAGATCTCTGGAGACAAGGAGAAGGGGAAGACGTTAGTCTGGAATCTTCCAGTCACAAATAACAGCTCAACCGGCTGACGCAGAGAAGCATGGTGGGGGTATTTATTAACAATGCAGCTCAGCAGCTTCAGGTCCCATTGGATCCAGGGGCTCGCGTGGTGCCCAGGGTGTGTCTGTCTGTCCCAGTGACTCCCTCCCACAGACGCCTTTCCACACAGTGGCCCCAGGGACTCCAAACCAACGTCTCCCAATAGGTGGGGCTGTGGGGTCCCGGGAGGCTGAGCAGCTGACACGTCCCTTTTGTGCCAACCCAGGTGTCCCATGACTTTGCCATCAACTTCAACCCCGAGGACGATGAGTGCGAAGGTAGGAGCGCGAGGGGGGCTGGGGCAGGGCTGCAGCGGCCACACTCCCTCCTCCCCCCCCCCAGGAATCCAGGGCGTGGTGGAGGCCTACCAGAACTGCCTGCCCAGGGTCCAGCTTTATGGCCCCACCAACGTGGCACCCATCATCTCCAAGGTGGCCCGCATGGCGGCGGCTGAGGAGCGCACCGCGGAGGCTTCTGTAGGTGTCTGGGGCGGGCGGCGCGGTGCGAAGCGCATCGGAAGGGGTGGGTGCCGTGGGGAGGTGAGGGCAGGACAGGGGTCAGCTGTGTGCGAGGTGGGGTCATGGAGGGCAGAGAGGCCTGGGGAACAGCCCGTGCAAAGGCCCTGAGGCAGGAAGGACGGGGCCAGAGTGGCTGGGAGTGGAGATGCAGGGCTTCGAAGCCACCAGGCTCACTTCTGATCTGCAGAATTCTGCCCTGGTGGGGCCATGAGTCTCCCGACCTGTCCACGCCACCCACAGTGCCTGTGTTCTGTTGTACATATATTGTAATTTTGTTTGCACAAACAATACTGTGGTAAAGGTTGCATGCTGCTTTTCTTGTCTCCATGTTTTGTAGACCTGATTATGCTGCTGTGTGCACTGCTGGTCTGCTGCTTTCTTTTAAGTTTTTATTTTTAAAAAACCATCAAATTTAGAGGAGAGTGGAAAGCATAGCACCATGATTTCAGCATATCATTCCCTGGATGTACCGATCACTGTCTTGTCCTGATCCTCCCACCCTTGTATCACTACTGTCTTCTTTCTGAACCAATTGAGAGCTGGCTGCTTACACCCAACACCCCTCAGTTCTCCATGTAGATCTGCTAACAACAAGGCCACACTGTGTGTGACCAAGGACACACTGTGCGTGACCAGGACACACTGTGCGTGACCATGGGCACCACTACGTGACTACAGCTCAGCCTTCAAGGCCAGGCCATTGAAAGCAGCCCCCTCCTGTTCTCACCCTGTTCCCCTCGTGTCCACATCCGCCATTCCTCCTAGGACGTGCCCTCACTAAATGCTGTCCCTCATATCTCAGCCCTTCCCCACCTGGGACCCACTGATCCCTCCTTCTCTGGCCTCAGATCTGGGTTCAAATGCTGGCTCTTCCAGCCTTTGTGTCCCCACCTGTAAGCTGCGGGCACCGCAGCGTGTGCCTCAGAGTCTGGATCAGGCACAGGCGTCGGGCAGTGGGGGCTACAGAGCATAGGCTCGGGGTTTACCGCGGTTGTCAAGGTTTGCATGTCCGCAAAAGCTCTTCCAGAAACATGTGAAAACCACGGGCTAAGGGAGGCTTGCGGTCACTCCCAGGCCCCCTGGGGGAGGACTTGGGGGCCTGTGGTGGGAGAGACGCAGCTGCCCTGAGGACCCTTGGGCCCCCCCTCCCCTGTGCCCCAGCAATACTACATCCTGCTCATCCTGACGGACGGCGTGGTGACCGACATGGCGGACACGCGAGAGGCCATCGTGCGTGCCTCCCACCTGCCCATGTCTGTCATCATCGTGGGCGTGGGCAACGCTGACTTCACGGACATGCAGACCCTGGACGGGGACGCCGGTGTCCTGTGCTCCCCAAGGGGCGAGCCCGCAGCCCGAGACATTGTGCAGTTCGTGCCCTTCCGGGAACTCAAGAACGTGGGTGCTCAGGACAGGCTGGTGGTCAAGGGTCCGGCCCCGGGGAGGTGCCCCCTGTCTCAGCAACTGTGTGCCAGGCTCTGGGCCCAGTGGCAGGTCTCACCTTGGGCCCCATAGTGGGAGAGACAGGCGCTGAGCGGATGGGGCCCGCGTCACCCCGTTCCCTCCCTTTTGTGACGAGGACCCCAGCAGCCTTCAAGCACCTAAAAACCTTTCTATTATGAAAACCATCAGACCTAACAGAGTTGAGAATGGGCCCCGTGACTCCACCAACCAGCTCTCCACAATCACTTTCAAACCTCTGAGACACAGTAAGAGAAGCACGTCACAGGAACACACACAAAGGAAATCCGTGTCACGTGGATGCACACTCACGGCTTCACTGGGGGAGAGTGGGCTCACACGAGCATGCGTGCCCCTCAGAGCAGTGCCCAGAGCCCATCGGATGTCACTTGCATGCCAGCGGCTGCCAGGACTGCCAGGGGCATTGCAGTTCGTATTGTCAGGTTTATATGCTTAACACAGGCTCACCTGGCCACCAGGTGAATTCCTGGCTGGGGTCCCCTGAGCCGACTTCACAGCCCCAGAGGTGGAGACCACAGTGTGAGAGGCGGAGCTCTAGAGGATGAGGGTGGGGTGTGACCAGCTGTGGGGTGGAGGGTCAGGAGGGCCTCAGGGGTGAGCACCTTGTCACCACCCGGCAGGCGTCCCCTGCAGCGCTGGCCAAGTGTGTGCTGGCTGAGGTGCCCAAGCAGCTGGTGGAATACTACAGCCACAAGGAGCTGCCTCCGCGAGGCCTCAGCGCCCACGCCCGAGATGGTGGGCCAGGCTGCGTGCCATGCGGACGCCCGGAGAGAGCTGGGCAGCTGGGGGAGCATCCCATCTCCAGCGCCCCTGGGGTCCCTTAAGCCGCTCCCGCCCCCCGACCTCCCAGAGGCACCCTGTCCCCCAGCGCGGGCCCACCCCCCATCATCCTGGAATTCTGCTGCTTAGGCCAGCCTCTGCAGACCCCAAAGCTGAAGGATAAAAATCCAGGCCCTGGGGAGCACAGCAGCAGGGGGGCTGGCGGCAGCCCCCAGTGCCTGGCCCTGCCCCAGGAGAAGAGCAGGAGGGGCCTGGGGGCTCCCTGTTTTCAGCTGGTCTTCATGGGCAGGGGCCAGCAGGCTGCATCTCAGTCCCTGAGCAAACCCGGACGCCCCAGGCCCCGTCCCCAGTCAGGTTGCCCCTTGTCCCGGCTTGCGCCCCCACCTCTCCCCTCCCTGCCCCTCAGTGGGTGGGGGCTCAGGCCTAATAAATTGTCATCTTTCCCTTGCAGCAGTTGTGCCTTTACTGCCCCTACCCTCCTTCCCATCCCTGCAGCAGAGGAGGGGTGGGGCGGGAAGAACCTGCCCCTCCCAGTCTGCACCCTGAAACTGGGAATCTTCTAGAGCAGGGGTCGGCAACCTGCGGCTTGCGAGCCACATGCGGCTCTTTGGGTGCGTTCCGTCTCAAAAGTTTGCCCACCCTTGGAAGAGCCAATCCTGTTCCTCACAACAATGTAAAAATTATTCGAGAGCCATAAATATATTTTTACACAATCACCGTTCTGTGAATAATAGCTTTAAATTTTTTATAAATGAAACTATGATAGTTTTATTTTCATTTTCAATTTTACTTCAGAGCCACATGTACAAACCCAAAGAGCCGCATGTGGCTCACGAGCCGCAGTTTGCTGACCCCTGGCGGCTCTTCCATCTCAAAAGTTTGCCGACCCCTGATCTAGACTCAGGCCCACTGGCACCTTCCTGGACTGAATGCAGGGCCTCCGGGAATGCGATTCGGGACCCCGGGGAGGGCCAGAGGGTGCAATGGTGCCCCGTAACCCAGTCTCTTCCCCTTGGTTTCTCGGGACCCTCGGCCAGAATCAGGAGGGAAGGGGTGCCAGGCAGGAACTCCGTGTCACTCCAGCCTGCACTTGGCTTCACATGCTATGTGCTCAGTCACAGGTGGTGGGGGCACCACCTGCCAGAGCCCCAGCCCCTGTGGGTGGGCTTCCAACTGAGATTTCCCCTAGTTACCTTGTCTGGGAAAAACAAATTCATCCTGACCCTGAATCCAGGTCAATCCCCATCCACCCATCATCCATCCATCCGTCTGTCACCCATCCATCCACCCAGCACCCATCCACTCATCCATCCATCCATCTGTCCACCCCTCTACCCCTCTCTCCTTCCCTCCATCCGTTATCTATCATCAACCCATCACCCTGGGGGGCTATGTTTAGCTCCTGATTCATCTCCTGTTAAGCAGGGATAATAGACATTGCCATGGTAACCTGGCTACTGCTGGATTCTGGAAAGGCCGATGTTGGTCTGCTGAGGAGTGGAGAGGACAGCAGAGAAGCAGCGCTTCTGAGCACATCTGGGGAGCAGCAGTGCACGGGGAGGTGGGCTGGGTGAGGAGGTTGTGGGTCGCAAAGTGACAAGTCAAGTGCCAGCCATGTCCTGACCCAGCCAGTGAGTCGGGGTATGGTGTCAGCAGCAGGAAGCCTCCGGCAGGTCCGGGTCTCCCCTCGGAGGCACAGCCCTGAGGTTGGTCAGTGGAGATCCCGGGGGTTGGCCGGAGGCACAGAGGAGTCAGCTGAGAAGAATGGGAGGGGTCCACGCGCAGCACAGGGACAGCAGTGGCCCTAGGGAGCAGCACCTAGGCAGGGCAGGGAAGGACAGGGGCCCCCGGAGCTGTTGCCTGAGCAGGCTGTAGCCACTCCCAGACACATGAAGCCGGCAGGGGCAGCCAAAGAGGACGCCCCCGGGGACAGAGCAGGCTTGGACAGGAGGACAACAGAGGCAGTGGCCTTGGGGTCCGGCCCGTGGGCAGGCTGGGCTGAGTATATGCAAGTGTGTGAGGGGCCGTTTGGGGGAATGAGGTCAGGCAGGCGTCCGCCAGCTCAGCTGGAAAGATGCCCAGCCTGAGAAGACTGCCCACCTCTACCCCGAGGCCCATAGAATAATAAGTGGTCACTGCCCCTGGGCGGCGGTCGGACACACACCTGCTTTTGCGTGCCCAGAGTTCACTCCTGCCTTCTCCATAACAGCGGCCCAGTTTCCCTTTGGGGACCCCCCACCGCTTGGTTGCTCCATGGACTTAGCGGGCCTAGACTACTGTCCAGATCCCAGGGTGGACACTAGACCCAGGCCTGGCCAACTAGAGAGAACTGTGTCTGTCCCCTGGCCACAGTGACCTGAGTTGACCAATGAGACTCGGTTCTGGGGTTTTTGTTGACCTTTGGCCTTTCCTCCAGTTTCTAAGCTGATGGGATGGGAGCAGGAGCTGCTGGTGACAACTCTGCCACCACACGGGGAGGGCCCACCTGAGAATGAAGCCAGCACAGAAGAAGCAGACCAGAGAAGTGGCACTGGGAGGTGCTCGATTTCGTTAAGGGAGCTGCGAGTCCCCTCCCTGCTCATGCCAGTGGGGTGGGTTTCAGTTGCTGACCACCCAGAGTCTGGCCCAGAAGGATGACTCATACACTCATTTCACAGATGAGAAAAGCAAAGCTCAACACAATTCACTGCAATGCCCAGGGTGGCACAGCCGGTCAGCGACAGCAGCAGACTCTCCAGCTCCATGCAGTTCCTAAATGTACAACTTTTGCTACAATGTCTGCCCTGAAGGGTCATGGCACCCAGCCCTGGAATCCAGAGGGACCCCAGGCCAGGGTGGTCAGAAACCCTGCTGGCTGGTGTGGGGACCTGCACAGAGGCCAGCAGCCCCCCGTTCTGCAGCACCACTTGGGGCCTCAGTCTTGCTCATGGCAGCACTGGATGTGGGTTTTCTCAGAAGGTTGTGCCCTGGGCAAGGTCCCCACGGCCACGGTGGGCGCCACCCTGGGGCCGGCTTGCTCTTCGGAAATGGCCTCCAGTGCACTGTCTGCAGTGGCCCCATTCTGCAAGGGTGGGCTTGGTCCAGAGAAAAGCCGGACACCAGCTCCAGCTTTCAGCAGCTGTGTCACCTTGGCTTACCTCATCTCAGCCTGAGCTTTATTCCTCATTTGTCACCTGGGGGTCTGGTAACTTAAAATCCTGGCCCCCAAACCCTTGACCACCATGGAGAGGTGTGAGGTGGGTGTGACTTCTCCTTGAATCCAGGCAGACGTGGGGGTCTTTGTGACTTCCAAGGTTTGGTCATGAAATGCCACCCTGCCACCTGGCCCACTTGCGACACTGGCTCTTGAGCCCCAGCCCCTGTTGTGAGGAGGCCTGAGCAGCCTGTGGGGGTGCACCGAGGCCCCGACAGCCGCCCCGACATGCTGGCGTCCTGAGTGAGCCCCATCGCTGACATCCTCCTGGCCCAGAACCTTCTGCTTGCCCTTCCTGTGCCGGCCTGCAGGACGGCAGGGCCCATCGTGCTGTCGGCCACCACACTTCAGAGTGATGTTAGCCGCAGACAACAGTTCTATCCTCGCGGGAGTCGTGTGGGGACCGGATGGCTGATGCTCAGGTGCTGGCAGTAATGCCTGTTTGGTGAATAAATACCAGCTTTGCAGGACCCCCACACCCTCCATGATCGCAAACTTGCCCACTGTGCTGCCTTGCTCTGCAGGGGAGCCAAGGCCTCTGAGCCCACGTCCCCACCCCCAGGGTTGTGCTGCAGTCCTGAGGCAACCATGCACTGGGCAGAGCAGGCTGTTCTTTCTTCTGCTGCCCAGGGGAAGCAATTGTGATTAAGTGCTTGTAATTGTTGCGGGGCCGCAGGGCTGTCAGACGCACAGCCATTGGCACAGGGGCCGGGCGTGAAAGCTGCCTTCCTTGCCCCCCTCCCCTCGCCTCTCTCCACCCCTGCGTTGGTGTCACCCTGAGCGAGGGCGCCCAGGGCCCTTGCCCAGTGTGGACCCTCTTCCCCCGTCCAGATGTACAGCAGCTTCCGAGCCCCCACGTGGGAGGGCTCCCTGTGCTGGGTACTTGCCAAGCTTGGCTCAAACATCACTCCTTGAGTCCCCACAATGGCCCCACGTGACCGCCCACTGTGAGCAGCATTTCACAGAAGGGGTTGGGGCTCAGGACACAGCCAGGAGGGGGGGTAGGGGTCCTGAGCTGGCCCTTGCAGCCTGGTTCCCAGGATTCAGCACCCAGAACTAGCAAGCCTTTGCTGTGTGTGTGTGCGTGTGCGTGCACATGTGTGTGTGTGTGTACTCGTGTGTGTATGTGTGTGGGCATGTGTATGTGTGTATGTATATGTGCAGTTGTGTGCGTGTGTGCATGTGTGCGTGCACATGTATGCGTATGCACTCATGTGTGTGTGTGTGTGTGCACGTGCACATTTGTGTATATATGTGCTCATGTGCATGTGTGTGTATATATATGTGCATGTGTGTGTGTGCAGGTGTATGTGTGTGCGTGTGGGGAATCCTTGTCCTCACCTGCTTTTTTGAGGCCTCTTTCCAACCCCCAGCCACTCTGGAGCAGGCCACACCCAGCCCCCTTTTGGATGGCTGTCTCTGGATGCTGGGAGTCAGCTAGACCAGGTGTGTGGGCCACAGTGGGTCATGGGAGCCCTGGTATCATACCCAAGATGGACACTTCCTGGGGCCACTCAGTGCTGCCCAGGATGTCCCTGAGAATATAAGATGTGCACACATTAGACCAGCAAGACCTTTCCAGCCTGGGAGGCCATGAGGGCATAGCACAGCAAATTTAGCCCACCCGGCCAGGGCAGAGAGGGGACCCCGGAGCAGGTCACTTGCCTGTGGTGGCACCGAGACTGCACCTGGGCTCCCCGGCTGAAGCTGGGGAGGGCAAAAGGCTGTGGGCCTATTCAGAGCCTATCTCATGGCCCAAGCACTGACCATGTGGCTGTCCATCAGGCTAGATGGCCCAGTGGTCTGGGTGGCCTGGCCATGGTGGCCTGTCTGGCTCTGGCCACTGGACACGCTATGTTAAGGAGTGATACATGGACACTCAAGGTGTCTGCAGGGAGAAAACAGGTTCTTTGTCTCCGGCCGGGCCAGCTGACCGTGTCTGGCTCCGAGAAACAGTGGGCCCAGCGCCTGAACATCCGGATGGAGGGAGGCACATCAGGGCAGAAAAGGCTGGCAGTGGGGACGGCGCCAACGGTGTCCTCACCTTCATCAGACTGGGCGCCGGCCCGAGGTCCAGCACCTCCCGCTGTCTCCTCTTGGGAGTGGGAAGTGCAGCCACCCCATTTTGTCTGAGCAGGAAGAAATACGTCAGGCTGGACCCTCTGCCCAGCTACCCAGCCGGGGGTCTCAGGCATGAGCTGAGTCCCTGCCCAGCCTCAGCTCACCCTCAGGAGTCAGCAAGCTCACCTTCAGAAAA